TAAAATATTTGGTGAACTTTATGTCCCTGACCAAAATATCTGTGTGGACGAATCTTTTTCCACTTTACTGGCTGGCTGGGAATCAAGCAATATATTCCCAGTAAAAGGACCAGGTATGAACTGAAGCTCAACAAGCACTGTGAAAGTGCCACGGAATATGTGCATGCCTTCCTTGTGTATGAAAGCAAAGACTCCCAGCTCCAGCCCCCTGGGTGCCCTACCAACATTGGCACAAGTGGAAATATTGTTTGGGACCTGGCTTTTCCACTTTTCCAAAAGGGTTATCACATCTACCTATATAATTATTACACAAGCCTGCCTCTTTTCCACCACCGGTACCTTGAGAAGACAATAGCCTGTGGTACCACCCAAGCAAACAGGAAGGGCTTCCCACAAAATCTAGTGAACACAAGGCTACAAAGGGGGGAATCTGAAAGTCTGAGGAAGAAGGAAGTGTTGGCCATGAAGTGAAGGGATAGGAGAGATGTTTACGCCCTGTCCACCATCCACAATGACACCATGGTGGAAATTCATGGAAGACGAGGTACCATCCGAAAGCCAGGGTGTATCTACAATTACAATCGATTCATGGGGGGGTGAATTTAAACTGTCAGATGCTGCAGCCCTATTGATCAACAAGCAAGTCCCTTTTCTGGTATAAAAAAGCTGCATTATACTTTTTCCACATGACCATTTTTAATGCATACATCACCTATCAAAAGTTGATGGAAAGACCTACCACCTTCCTCAAATTTATGGAAGATGTTGTCACTAATCTAATCTATCAGCAAGGATCTCCATCACAAAGCATTAGCTTTGATTGTGTCAGTAGACTAGACTTCATGAATGCCATTTCTCTGAGAACATTCCACCATCATAAACAGGAAGAAGACGCCAAAAAATTGTAGGGTATGCAACAGAGAGGGAGTTAGGAGAGACACCAGTTTTCATTGTCCTCAATGCCCCCAATCAGGCCTATGCATTGGAGACTGCTTACGTTATCACACATTACTAAAATATTAGTTCCCCCTATATTTAACAGCCTGCAATTTCCCCATTTTTATTATATGTGCTGATTTTTTGTCTGCTGCCTTTATTGACCATGCCTCTGTCTTCCACCTTAGCTGACCCCGGCTGTTTGCTGACAATGCCTCTGCCTGCCGTCTGGATTGTTTCTAAACTGCATTTCTGCCTTCCACCTGAACTGACCCTGGCGTGTATATTGACTATGTCTCTGCCTGCCATCTGAATTATCAACCATGTGTATGCCTTCTTCCAGGATTGACCTTGGCCTGTTAAATCGACAATGTGCGTTGCCTGCCGCTTTGATTGATCTTTTGCCCTGCTACTGTAGTAGTGGGATTCAAGATAACACAGGGGTCTCACATATGTGAGGGGCCTCAGTGTAGAGTTCTGAGTAGAGAAAACACACACTTCTTTTGTTTTCTCTGTGTTTTGTAATACCTGGAACAAGGCATATTTGTCCAGAGGCTTCAAAGAGATTGGGTAGGACGAAGCCTCTACCCCTGTGCCCCAGTCCTACTTGACCAAGGCCCTAAGCCTGATCTTCCTGCCTGCTGCCTGGACCAATACTTTGGCTATGTTGATCATATCTCTGCCTGCTGCCTGTATTGACCCAAGACTTTTTATGGACTATTTTCCTGCCTGTTGCCTGGACCAATACTTTTTTGCTGTGCTGAGCATATATCTATGGTATCTAGGTCTCTATATCTGGCTAGAATGTTAATTGCAAGGCAATGGCTGTCTTCGGCCCCACCAACTAAAAAGCAATGGATAGACTATGTCAACTCACTACTTCTATGAGAAAAGCTCACATATCAACATCATAATGCTCACAGCAAATTTCAGCTGGTATGGCAGGGTTGGCTAGATGTACCTGGGCTTGCCCCTTCTCAGTTGTTAGTAGATAGGCTCCTTCAGGTGATACATTTTATTATATGGCAGATAACCTCATCTCCCCGTCAGGGGGTACTCATGTAAACCATAGTTCTATTTATGATGTCTCAGGTGAACTAATTACTTGTTTTTGGTCTTTTTTTACGATATCTATTGTCAAGGTGGTCATGGATCCTTATGTTCTCTATTGTGTTTGGTCAATGCTTCTGGTCTTTTATATGTCACAGGATTTGTGTATCCAAGTTGTCACACTATGTATGTGGATGACACAGTGGCTACATGGTTAGCATTTCCACCTGGCACTACTAGGGTCGCTGGTTTGAATCCTAACCACAGCACCAGCTGCCTGGAGTTTGCATGTTCTCCTTGTGCTTGCGTGGGTTTCCTCTGGGTACTCTGGTTTCCTTCCACACTCCAAAGACATGCTGATAGGTTAATTAGCTCCTGTCTAAATTGTCCTTAGTATGTGTATGTATGAATTCAAGTTAGGGACCTTAGATTATACACTTCTTGAGGATTAGGGACTGATGTGAATGTACTATATATATATGTAAAGTGCTGCGTAAATTGACGGCGCTATATAAGTACCTAAAATAAATAAATGTATAATTCTGATTGTACTTTCATGTTTTTAAAGATTCTGAAAGCACTGTTCCACTTCCTTGACAATACAAGCTGTTCGGATTTAAAAAAAAAAAAAAATACCCTTAAGATTATATATAGAACCGCACAAGCTAAATCAAATGTTTCACTACATTTCTAACCAATGCTGGTGGGGATGAGGTTATATTGACATTGTTTAGCAGATCTAGGGGAAGTGCCAACAAATTCATCCCTTCTGGGCAGCTATGATGACACCCTTCAAAAGTTGTTTGGCCAAGTTCCACCTTTCACCCTCCTAGCTTATCTTTTATATGAAACTGAAGCCCCATTAGACATTTAAAAAAAGATCCTTAATAGTACACCTCAGCAACACTGCCAAAACCCTTGTCCCAGGACATTGGAAGAACACCACACTGCCCACTCTTACTGAATGGAGCAGTAGAATTAACCAACTAGCCCAGTCAGAGGAGGCTCTAGCCATTACAAATGATATTTTAGACACGTATAAGGATATATGGACTATTTAGTTACTGTTTAAATCTCCTCTCCTGGTCCCAGATAAGCAAAACAGAAGTACAGTATATACATTCACTGATGATCTTTTTTGGGGGGATACCTGGGGGAGGAGAGAATCAGCTGGTGGAGGGTTCCTCTACTTTGCTATACTCCATGGGAATGAATCCCCATGACATAGCATATCTCTGGTATATTTCCTCCTTTTTCTACTCCACCCCTCCTTGGATTATTTCACACAGACCTTTTTTCTCCCCATCTTTAATCTCTCTAGCCTACAATAGCCCTTTACCTAATGTTACCTCTTCTGTTCACTAGAATCTGTTATTTTAGCCTATATCCTTCTCCATAGGTTTCAGCCCTTAGATACACTGTGATGTGTCATCTTAACTAAAACATAAATCATAAACTATGCAGAAGTCATGCTTAGTTAAATAATCTGTTAACACATAGGACACCAGGGGCGGACTGACCATTTGGAAACTCGGGCACTGCCCGAGGGCCCGGGGTCAGTAGGGGGCCCCATGAGATGCCCCTGGTACCTTTTTCATAGGCTTTTTTGAGTTTGCGCAAGGACACAGGGGCCCCATGATCCCCTACTAAGGGCCCGGGGTCAGTAGGGGGCCCCATGAGATGCCCCTGGTACCTTTTTCATAGGCTTTTTTGAGTTTGGGCAAGGACACAGGGGCCCCGTGATCCCCTATTGCCCGGGGGTCCCATGAGTTGTCAGTCCGCCCCTGGTAAACCCTGTTATCTGCATGGAAGATACACCTTTACTATTTTTTTTTCCAAAACAAGATAAGGTTTACATTTTATTTGTGTGTTCATTTGTTTTCTTATTCATGGTCTGGACATGACCCTAGTATGTACAAATTATTTTTAATATTATTATTATTATACAGGATTTATATAGCGCCAACAGTTTGCACAGCTCTTTACAGCATGAGGGCAGACAGTACAGTTACAATACAAGCCAATACAGGAGGAATCAGAGGGCCCTGACCATTGAAGATTATAATTAGAGATGAGCGAATCGAACCAGGCGAACCGGAATTCGATACGAATTTCAGGAAAAATTCGATTTGCGTCGAATCCGAATATTTGCCTACTTCGGGTGCGCGAATCGGATTTTTCCCGATCAGCCGGCAAAAGTGTCCCTGCAGAGAGCACCGCTATTTCTGACAGTTCTCTGACAGAAGGAACACATGTACAGCGGTTGAAACATTGTATCTATTAGTTTCCATTTAGGATACAGATGTTTCAACCGCTGTACATGTGAAGAAGCTGTCACAGAACTGTCAGAAATAGAGGAACTCTGCACATACACTTTTTGCCGGTTTGGAATTCTTATTTTCATCCTACTTCTTCTTCTTCTTCTACTTCTTCATCCTCATCCTCATCCTCAGAAGAAGAAGAAGAGGATGAGGATGAGGATGAAGAAGAAGAAGAAGAAGTAGGATGAAAATAAGAATAATTCCAAGCCGGCAAAAAGTGTATGTGCAGAGCTCCTCTATTCTGCAGATACACTTAGAGGAGCTCTGCAGATACACTTAGAGGAGCTCTGCACATACACTTTTTGCCAGCTTGGAATTAATCTTATTTTCATCCTACTTCTTCTTCTTCTTCATCCTCATCCTCATCCTCAGAAGAAGAAGAAGAGGATGAGGATGAGGATGAAGAAGAAGAAGAAGAAGTAGGATGAAAATAAGAATAATTCCAAGCCGGCAAAAAGTGTATCTGCAGAGCTCCTCTAAGTGTATCTGCAGAATGTCATTTATGGAAACAAATAGATACAATGTTTCAACCGCTGTATGGAGTGAATGTCCCAGAACTGTCAGAAATAGACTATTTATGACAGTTCTGGGACATTCCCTCCATACAGCGGTTGAAACCGCTGTATGGAGGGAATGTCCCACAACTGTCAGAAATAGACTATTTCTGACAGTTCTGGGACATTCACTCCATACATGTCCCAGAACTGTCAGAAATAGACTATTTCTGACAGTTCTGGGACATTCCCTCAATACAGCGGTTGAAACCGCTGTATGGAGTGAATGTCACAGAACTGTCAGCAATAGACAGAAACTGTCACAGAACTGTCCTTCTTCTCATCCTTCTCCTTCTTCTCATCCTTCTCCTGCTTCTCATCCTTCTCCTTCTTCTCATCCTTCTTCTCATCCTTCTCCTTCTTCTCATCCTTCTTCTCATCCTTCTCCTTCTCCTTCTCCTCCTTCTCCTTCTCCTTCTTCTCATCCTTCTTCTCATCCTTCTCCTTCTCCTTCTTCTCATCCTTCTCCTTCTTCTCATCCTTCTCCTTCTCCTTCTTCTCATCCTTCTCCTTCTCCTTCTTCTCATCCTTCTCCTTCTTCTCATCCTTCTCCTTCTCCTCCTTCTCCTCCTTCTCCTTCTCCTTCTCCTTCTCCTTCTCCTTCTCCTTCTTCTCATCCTTCTCCTTCTCCTTCTCCTTCCTCATCTCCAAGGGCATTTAAATTAAAGGTACAGTGTTCTGCACTAATTTAAAGGCTCTCTGAAGCCTAGAAACCCTTTTTATAAGTTAACTTCGTAGCGAATTAATTCGCATCGAATCGAATTTCTTCCTGGAATTCGCCGAATCAGCCGAATCGAATTTTTGAAAAATTCGCTCATCTCTAATTATAATCTAAAAGGGAGAGTCAAGTGATACAAAAGGTAATAACTAAGGAATTTAATAGAATGGGAGAGGCTTGGGAAATTTCCTGGAGGCGGAACATGGGAGAAGGTGACAGGGGAGCTACAGAACAGGAGGTCTTGGGAGGAATGAAAAGGATCATTTGTTTGGTATTTTGAGACTAAATTAATAATGTAGCTGGGGGACTAGTTTTGGATGGTTTTGTAAGTTAGTTAGTAATTTTAATTTATATCATTGGGTGAGTGGCAGGCAATGAAGGGATTGGCAAAGAGTTGTGGCAGATACTTAACCGTTGGTAAGGTGGATGAGTCTGACAGCAGCACTCATGATGGACTGAAGGAGGGAGTTGCAATAGTGAAGGCAAGAGATGAGGGAGTGAATTACAAGCTTTGTGGTGTCATTGGCTAAGAAGTGGCATATTTTGGAGATTTTGTGGAGGTTGAGGTGGCAAGCTTTAGACAGTGATTGGATGTGGGGCCGAAAGGAGAGTTCAGAGTCTAGGATTACACCTAACACTCTGGCATGGGGTTCGGGTTAATGGTTGTGCCATTAATCTTGATTAGATTAATGGCACACAGAGCCACACCTCCTCTGTGGAACAAATCAGCACATAAGTTTAAACCGAAACCTTGGTGACCCCACTCCACAGCACCTAGTAAAGATCACAACATTTCATCCATCCTTGAGGCGCTCAGCTGCGGCAGTGCTAATACCACCTGAACTCTTACCCCGTTGTTAGATTGCAGCTCAGAATTTAAAGTTACAGCTGCTCAATTCTTGTTCCTTTTATGTGTTTTATGACTTCCTTTTTTTCTCTATTTCTATACACTCAGAGGCACCAACTTATCTTCACGGCAACAATGAAAAGTCTTTAACTGCTCCAGGTGAAACAGAACCTGACCTTACCTTCTAATTCCCCACAAGCATAACCTCTGGCAACATTCTCTACTATCTAAAAGTGAATACCTCTAACATCCAGCATACCACTACACCCTTATGGGTATCAAAATTTTCTTTAAACAAGAGAGCTTCCATGTGGTAGATGGCACAACGCTCTCACTGTGACATCCTATGTATCAAGGAAACCCACTTTAAAGCCAACGCAACACCACCTTGTATGCACAAAGTCTTTCCACACACATTTAAGGATTGAAGCCCAGAGAAAAAGCTTGGAGTACTAGTGGCAATAAAGAACCCTACACAATAAAATTGAGGACCCCAATGGCCTCTTCATCATTCTAATATGCTTAATAAAAAATACTCTATACACCTTAGCATGCATATATGCTCCAAATACAAATTTCCTTTCTGAATAAGCTTATGAGGAAGATACAGTAAGGGTTCACTAATAATATGAGGAGACTTTAATATTACACCAGGCCATAATCTTGACACCTCCAACCTCAACACTAGACATATTTCTCTTATGCAACATTTCCTTCAAGCAAATGACCTTTAAGATGCATGGAGGTGCCAAAACTCAACTGAACATGACTTTACCTTTTTCTCTACACCACACAATTTTTATTCGAGGATTAATTACTATTTGCTCAATAAGTGGCTCCTACAGAGGATTTTTGAATCCACCATTGACCCCATCTCGTGGTCGGACCATGCTCCTGTTAGCCTTACTATGACTGCATCTTCCCCTCTGATTTCAGCTAAGATGTGGCAAGCTAACACCTGTATCATGAAGTTATCTACATACGTGACAAGCTTCACCTTATTATTATTATTATTATTATACAGTATTTATATAGTGCCAAAAGGTTTGCTCAGCGCTGTACATTATAGTGGGGGACAGAACATGAGACAATACAGTAACAAAACAATACACAAGGGGTTCGAGGGCCCTGCTCTTTCAAGCTTACAATCTAGGAGGGAGGGGAAGGTGGTACAGGAGGAAGTGGCTGTGGGGGGATGGAGTAGTAGGAGGAGAGGAGGAGATCGGCTGTTCTTCGAAATTCTTCAAAAACAACACTGGCTCAGTAGAGTATCCAGTGACTCTATGGACTACCCATAAGGCATTTATCAGGGAGGTTGTAATACAATTAAGTTCTAGTGTAAAAAAAAAAGGAGGACGCAGTGAGTCGATGAGATTCTAGCTGAAATAAATTCCATAGAAACACTAAACAAAACATCTCCCCACCATTGCCTTAAACTTAAACTACTGGCCTTATGGCAAGAACTAAGATCCCTACTACTACACTTCTATGAAAAAACACAGTGAAGGCTTAAAGAAACAGTTTATTTCACCAGCACTAAAGTGGGCAAAGCTATGGCACTACGCATTTGAGGCCAGTGCAACAAAACAAAAATCCCACACATACTAAACCCTACTGCCAGAAGAAAAATCTGCAACCCCCAAGATATGAATAACACCTTCAGAACCTATAATAAAGTCCTATATAACCTTCAAAATGACCATTCAATTCATCAAACCCACACCTGACAAAATAGAAAACTTTTTAGGCCAAATTCAGCTTCCTTTTCAGATACTCAACTTCATAGCCTCAACTTCCCTTTTACCATTCCCCAAAATTATCCACAGTATTGATTCTCTCCCCAGTTGTAAACCCCAGACCAGATGGACACCCACGGGAATATTATAGTCGATTCAAGCAATCTCTTCAACAATGCTGCCTCCTCCTCATCCTTCCCTCAATAAATGTTAAATGCCACAGTGATAGCACTACCCAAATCAGGAAAGGACCCTACTGTACCACAAAATTGCAGACCTATTTCGCTGCTGAACACTGGTTTAAAACTCTATGCTAAACTATTGGCTTTAGATTCATGAATATTGTGCCATCTCTCACTAAAAGTGATCAGGCTGGTTTTGTCATAGGAAGAAAATCCTCAGACGCGACCAGACAACTGATCAATATAGTTCACCTAGCGCATAGTACTAGAACTCCTTCTCTGCTTCTTTCTCTAGATGCAGAGAAGGTGTTCGACAAAGTGCTATGGGGTACTCATTAAAATTGGATTCTCTAATAGCATACTAACAGCTCTCATGGTCTTGTATACTAATCCAACAGCTCAAGTATACATTGAAGAAATTATATCCACCCCGTTTCACATAACTAATGGAATCCATCAGGGTTGTCCATTGTCCCCATTCATACTTAACTTAGCCATAGAACCCTTGGCATAACACTTCAGGTCTTCAAAATGAATGACGTGCTTTAAGGTCGATGACACAGAGCATAAAATCAGCTTATTTACTGATGATGTTATATTGATGATCACAAACCCCCAAACCTCTCTAGCAGTAACAAACTCTATTCTACAACAATTTAGTGAGATTTTGTATTATAGATTAAATGCCTCCAAATCTCACATTTTGGATTTAGGAGTTGACGGTATCACCCGCAACATAATTATCTGGGTATCATCTTAACAAAAAAATCCAAATAACGTATTTAGAGAAAACTTTATACCATTTCAATTAAAGTTTAACCAAACATTACAACAACTTTCCAAACACAAATTCTCCTGGGCTGGGCGACTGGCAGAATTCAAAATGATTACCCTTCCCCAACTGTCACATCTTTTTAAAACCCTTCTTATACCTGTCCCTAGCTCTTACCTCAAAACACTCTAATCACTATGTACTAACTATATATGGCAAAACAAAAAACCCTGTGTAGCTCAAACCCTACTTATCAAAGACAAACTGATGGGCGGCTCAGGCTACTACACATACCAGACTACTATACCGCCACTATTCTAGCACAAATGCAAGAATGGTTCTACCCAGAAGTACATACTTTATGAAGTAAATTAGAAAGGACTGCTGTGCCCAGTCAGAACTTAAAGCACTGGTTATGCAGTCTACATCCAAAATCAAAACATACCCAGGCACCTCCCCCTTACTATTATAGCAGCAATTGAAATATGGCATAAACTTCTAACACAGGCTTGGGTCAAAACACCAACCATAAACCTGCCACTATTTACTATACAACTACTAATTCCTGACCTTAATTTGCACTTATAGCCTACACAAACCACCCTACAACTAAATGTACTATTTACCCAGATCAAACCATTCTCTCAACTGAGATTGAAATTAGGATTACCTCCTGGAAACCATTACCTATATCTTCAAATCACCCATTGTATCCGCCACAAACCCCAGCTCCAAACACCCATAAAACACCAAGCCATAATGCTCCTCATACCCACCCACAAGAAATCCAAAGGTATCTTCCTCTTTTATAACATTCTCCAAGAGAAAACAATCTTCCATCACTCCCAATATTTCCGGAACTAGATCTGAACCAAAGCTATTTAGCACACCAATGGAAAACAGCCCTACTCTCT